TCCATTACCAAAAAATGTTGTGGTTCATTAGAAAATCTCTATCACTTTTCATCAGAAGTATATATAGTCAAAATAAACTTAGAGGAGTATTTAAAAATGTGTTCAATCAGCAAGGAACTCCTATAAAAAAGCAATTTTAAAACAAGGATGTCCTATATAGTCAACAAAGATCACTGTTTAAAAAAAAGACCCATCAAATTTGAAGTTGTCATAATACAAGTAGAAAGTGTGAAATTCTATGAAATCCTCCAAACATTTTCACAGCAAAGTAACAAAAATTTGTTTGGTCTGAGTTCCCACACTCAACAGTCTGGACATTCCATCATAATTAAAATGGTCCTTACATTTAAAGTAATAAAACGGATTTTTTCTTATTTAAATCTCCTTTAAAAAATATGTCTCCCTATATCCTCAACTTCCTACCAAGTCTATAAACAAAAATTTACACACATTTTTGGGTTTTTTCTTTAGTCATCAATAACTTACTTGGACTTGATATTTGACCCCTGCCTTTGTCAAAGCTGCTACTAACTGAGCAGTGTTCTGAAAATGTACATTATCTGCAGAAACACAATAGTAATGATTAGTACATTCTTCCACTTGACAAAAATCAGTTTTGGTTCCTTGTGGTTTTGGCTATTTTTAGATTGGTTTTTCAATCAGTTTTTGTGCCAAAATACTTTGGTTTTTGGGTTTGGTGTTCACTGTGGTATTCATTTGATTATGAAATGGAGTTTATTGTCAAATTGTAAAAAGAACAGTTGTCAAAGTTTTAATACCAAATTAATACACAGCTATACCCTTAATGTATACTATATCATCCTGCTACTAAGATCTCAGTCCATGGTCATATTAACATAATCAAGAACTCAAACGCTGCTACAAAATTCAACTTACCATCTCCTGTTCCATGTACCAGAAGAAAACTATCATTTTGGAAATTTTTTGCCTTGTTAAGAACTGATGATATCTAAAATTCATAAATGACAAATAATCAAGTTGTGGCCCTTCCAACAAGTCAAGTAGTATGGGCATTAGCCTTGTAATACAGAGAAACCAACTCAGAATCTCTTCTCTACCTCTTACAGGGATTGGTTCACACATCTACACCCAGATTTGAGCAGGATGTAAACTGAATTGCAACTTTAATATGCTATTAGGCAGATACAGGTAATGTGTATTAAGAACATTACCAACTAAAGGATTTTAACAGAATAAAACACTTGGTTCTCAGGAACAGCCAACAAAAGAGTCTTGGGGCATCAGTGGGCGAATTAGCTCTTGCCTTTCAGAGGTGAAAGCTACACAGTTTTCTATTTGGAGCCAGCAAAATAATTTATCAATAAAACTACCTCATATCCCTTTAAGTTTTGTTTAGGAGTGAGCATGTAACGTTCAGTGTAAATGGAATCTGCATAAAAAAAAGGAAGCAAATGACATGGTATTAGTAAAATATTTTCCCTCAACCAAAAGCATGTGCAAGGAAGGTATCATTCAGTGAGATACCCAATCTGGTTGTTAAGTTAGTCAACCTTGCAAACCTTTTTTATCATCTCAACAACAGCCAAAAGAAAAATGTGTTGTAAGGAGAGTCAGCTGTCACATATAGTGAGACAAAAGGTATTAATGGCAACCTCCAAATAAAAGAACCCAAAAGCAAAATGGATCAAAATCGTCCAGTCACAACTCAAATTATAATGACCCAAAGTATTCAACCTGCTGAAACAATGCACTACACTGTCAGTATTCTCAAGAGGTCCACAACATGAAATAAGAGGCATATTTAATGATGTATCTCCATTTCCATGGTTATCAGTAGTATGTTATTGAAATGGAAAGAGAAGTAATCAACATGTAACTGGCAACTGTTGTTTTATCCATTAGAGAAAAGCTTTAAAAACACTTTGTACATTGAATTCATTCAAGAGAGGCAGTGGGAATCCAGGTATGCTCCTCTCAAGCAAAGTGCATAACCTTGTTTGCTACATTCTCACCATAATATCTCCAATCTGTGACAGGAGCAACAGCCATTCCAAGTTTAAACACCCCAGAGTTAACACTAAGAACATAGGATGTCAAGTACCCTCCATATGACTACAATACAAAATTGGATTATCATGAGAATAACACCTAAATGCATGCACATTTTAACACATCCTTTGACAAATTAGAAAATGTAAGAATGAAAAAGTGATGATTGTATATTAAACCAAAATATCACAATTATACAAAACTCTTTACAAAGAAGTTTCACACTGTATGTACAAAAAGAATTAAAACAATCAGAGGTAACACCAAAACACTTATTCTAACCCAGCCCCATATGGCCATCTTTGTTTCATCAACATAATCTTTCTTTGCAATTTTCCTGAAGATAAAACAAAAACAATCAATTACAACCAAAGCTAAGACTATTAAGAAGTTGATTTATAAGACCACAGAATGTAACTTTCACAAAATCAATGACACTAGTGGTAAGACTAATCAGGAATAAGTTGTTTGCAGTTAAAAATTGTGGTGTTATCCCTTTTTGGCCCTTCATTCTCTTAGACAACTATTCTACATTTCAGTTGTTTAGTATCTCTAATTTGGTGCCATATTGTAATACATTACAGTTAAGCTATCTTTACTGCCTTCTTTATAACAAAGTTTTCCGTATGGCCGTCCCCTCATTCAAAATGCCATTGTCACAACATCTGTATCAACCAATTCTTTTAACTGAACATTCCAATATGCCTTAAGACAGACATCAATACAGAAAGTGATTTACCCTGTGTACAATTTGTTAGCTCCCCAACTTACTTGGCAACATTAATTGTATCTTCAGCCTCATATTCTCCCAGATGTTTATAAACTTCATGCTTAAATCTACAAGAAAAACAAAAGTTCTGTTACTTAAGCTGTCAATTTTCAGCTTTGCTTCCAAGATTAGCATAACTTGGAAATACTAAGATTGTTTGTAGTAAGTCTGCTTCATACTGATGACTTATCAACAAAACACAGTCATGATATCCTTATTTTGGTAGAGTGAACATGAAGACACAGGGACAGATACCTATTCATTGACACTTAGATAGCTGGAACAGTGAACAATGATAGGGTTAAATGATTGTTTGTAGATGTTCTTTTGATAACATTTAAAATTCAAAAAACCATTCAGAAAGAGAACATTATATCCTTCACCTTTCTCCTCTGCAGCATGTTCCTCTGGCATCAACATTCACCACAATCAAGTCAAAGTTGCTGACTAAATAACCAGTTTCAAATCCATAACCATAACTGTCAACAACCTAATGGCAAAACAAAAATAATAAAGAAAATACTGCCAAACCAGCTTCAGAAGCCGAGCTGTACAGAAGAACATGAAAAGGTTGAGTCTTGCAGCTGGAGTCATACAAAACAAAAGTGTTCCACCTTCTCATTGACCTCAAGCTATCTAAGCACTTTATCTGGATGTTATACTACTCCATAAAAAACAAACCCTTCAACAATGTTATATATTTCAAAACATTTGTCCATCCTTCTGTTTGGGGAGAGGCCTTAAGAAAATGTGTTTCCCAAAAACACATCACAAAGCAACCTACAGGGCTTAAATCCTTGTGCCTTAATCCAGAGTATGCCACACTAATCACCAAGCCAGCTAGTCTCTTATTCCAATTGCATGCACATGAAACACCAATATTCCATATAACCCAGCTATTAGAGAACAAACCATGTAAACTAACAAAATCCTTAAGGCTAAAAAACATTGAAGTTGAACTGTAACTTTTGACTGACATGAAAAGTAATACTGATTATAAAAACCTTCTGTGATGCTGGACCACCATACCTGAAAAGAGTGTAAAAGTAATTTATGTTAATCTTAGTACGTATGAAACATGTTAGAGATGATTGGGCTTTGCAGGATAACACAGTAGATACTTTAAATTTTCCTTGGAGTGTTTTTGTACAACATACTACTCTTTCAAATCCAAGACATCACACAGCTCCACCAAACATCTCACACACCTCCCAAACTACAAAAAGCCTTTTTTTTTCGTTCCTGTCTATTTTTTTGTTTTCTTTGTTTTTTTTTTTGGCCATATTGAAAAGTATAGCAAGGCACTGGAATTTTCACCAATGGGATTTACTCAGATGGGAGATACTTAAATGTCAAGTCCCACACTGAATATAATGTGTAGAAGCTTATTCAAAAACCCAAGTTATTATTACTACTATTTTTTTTTAAAGTCAAAAACTGCATGGAAATTCAAGGAGGATAATACTTCACAAGAAACTAAACTTACACTGAAAACAGAACAGCATATTTCTTTTCTGGAGTAAAGTTTGGTGGGCGATATTCTTTTACATAGAGATCTGAAGTGAGAAGACATAAGAATTACAGTAAGTTACATGTGTCCTCCAGTAAATAGAGAACACAAAAGGAGAGGGCAGAAAATCAAATGTTGTAAGTAGTAGAGTTGCAGCTGGCAGTTACTTGGCAAGAATTCCTGAACAACTTCAACCACTGTTCACTTTGAAGCAATACCTACTTACATCAAAGATAAAAAGACCCTGTATACTCTTGGATCCAAATTAAATTTATGCATTTCTTGCAGATTTTACTAACCATAGCTACCACTTTTCACAATGTAATTTTCCACGATGGGTAAAGAAACTCCATCCAATCTTTTACGAAGGGCACTGTTATCTTCCAGGATCTCAACTGCCACACATGAAAAAAAAAAAGCATTGAAGAATCCACATTTAGAATGGCTGGTGACAAATATATTATGTGATCAAAGACTATCCAGAATCCTTGCAAAGATTATTGATTTGTAACCTCCCACTCCACCCCTCTGATACCCTTCACTTGGTGGTTTGCTAAACCACATACTAACCAAATGTCAACATAAGTGATTATTCTATCTTTGGAACTAACCCAAACAATAATTAAAGGTGCATACTTGGAATAGAAGCTTGATACATATTTTGTAAAAAAAATTCCCTTCTCATTCACATCTAGCAATGAGAAACATTGGACAAAGATCTGGGCAAACTGATGCTCTATGTCATAATGAAAATTCATGTTCAAGAGCATGTGAACACAAATAATGAAAGGATTTGTACTATTTCAAGCTCCAAAACTTGCCATGACCTTTGCTTCCCATCATATATGATTATGTTGGTATAACCTTTTAGCCCCAAGGAGTGATTAGCATCCAATTTCTCCTTATAATATCATCTCTGAGTCAAACATGAAAGTTATGAGAATAAAGGAAATGGTCACCAACTGAAGAAGCCCTTGAATGTTAAACAAATTCTCCTTTCCAGCACCACAGGAAATGTATTAAGAACAGTTTGGAGAATACCGATACTGATGTTAGGGTGTAAAGGGTTTAAAGTATAATGAATCAAAAACTTCGTCAAGGCCTTTATGCCATAGTTTTTCTCAGAGAAATCACATTCAGTAACTTTTTATGACCCTCCCTTGACATGCATGAGCCAAGAATAACAAAAATGTAAGATTAGTAGTTAATGGTAGCAAAGACGTCTTGACAAAGAAATGACTTGACTGCACAGTTTTTTACATACATACATATCCTAATGCACAGGAAGGTGTGCACCTAAAAACATCACATGCAGCCAGGTATTTTACCACAAAGTGTCAAAATTCACCTCTACTACTCTTTGTGCTTCGAAGAGTTATTTCAGGTATTCCTGGTCCTAAAAACCAATTAAAAGAAAGTTAAAAAAGAAAAGAAAAAAGAATGCACCAATAAATAGGGGCATCATTTGACAAATGATAAATTCAATTTAACAGTGTGACTAGATCTTCATAATTGAACATCTATATATGCAATCATAGAAGTAATAAGCAGCAAGAAAGAGAGAGAGATAGATTTGTGATTTCAATCAATTTTTTAGTCCTTGGCTAATAAATTGCTTGAATTCAAATGAGGATGTCTCATTCACAGTAAGTGGTTTGGAGATAACATTTCCTTACCATTGTTAAAAAAAACATGTCCAACTCTACAAATTTAACCATTCAAACAACAAATACAACAGCTAACGCTGTCCAAAGTGATACATAACCTCTCAAACACAATCAATTCATTATCTTGCTTATGACCAAGCTCTCAATGACAATACAACATAACTAGTGAAGCCCCATGAAATCAGTGGGCTCCAAGCATGGCTTGTCACTTGTCATCACTACCAAAGAGAGCCCGTAACAGGATATTTCAAAATTACCTTGACAGTACAAGATATACCAGCTACCACCAAGGCTGAAACTTGCGCTATAGTAGGAACACTTGTTTCCCTCTAAAGCAAAAAATTAAGACTTAAGATTAAGATCAAGAAAAATTTATTGATGAGGAACACCTTTCATAACTATTTTCTAATAGTTAACAGAAAACAGTTCCAATACAGGTCACTCTTAGAAAAAGCGAGTAGATACCAAGAAGATCATATACATTCTGACATGCTGTAAACAGGAAATAAAATGTTGCTGCTGCAGTCTCTACCTCTTCACTGCCTTATCTCCTCTGATGGGCATGATTTACAACTTTAGGCTTGTTTGAAATCCTTTCACATGCCTTTGAAAAGCCTCCTTGAGGAAACTGGCCATGTGATATCATGATATCATGCTCAAACTCACCCAGCTAGCTTATGATATTAAATTTTACAACATATTATTATATATTACATATAAAGCTTGTCAATATATAAAAAGGGTCCATTTTTTAAATGCATTGCACAAATTGCATGCAATTAAAATTTTTATTACTTTTGGGAAATAAAAGCCAACTGGCACTCTACATTCAAGACAAAAATACAGGCATGCAAAGCTATGCAAATGAGGATGCATGGTCTTTTAAATACCATAGCCTCTTACTTATCACTGTGGGTAGACCACAAGTCAAGCAGGAAAGCTCTCCTGATTTTATCTTGACACTGAAAATTGAACCAAGGAAACAAGAACCACAATTAAAAGGCAAAGAATTGCAAGGAACATGTGCTGGTGGACAGAAGAAAATTACACTCATCAGTTCCCTCAATCTCTACCACCACTCATGTGACATGAGTAAAAATTCTCAATAATCAACTAAAAGGAGTGGTGCCTGATAGAAGAAGATGCACTTAACAAGTACACCATGAAGAAAAACATTCAAGACCCACAAGCAGTTTTAAAACTCTTCAAGTTGCCACCACTCTTAGTGCCATGGTGTTATCTACTTTAGAACTGGTCACTAAATTTTGAAAAAGAAAAACACCACGCTGGAGAATTGAATGGAAAACTGTACTATCAGATATCACCCTCACTAAACTTTATCCTTCAGATGAACTCCAACCGATCAAATGAGTTCAAGAACGAAGCTAAATTGAAAGCAAACAAAGGGCTAAAACCTGAGCATATTGAGATAAATTGCACCTTTACTTCAACCTGACACTTTTACATCATTGCACTTATAAATTTCCTATGGGATCTAAGCCAGTTGATGATTGAAAGTACTTCACTTATTGTTTCTTTACACCCAAGGGTGTTGCTCCTATAAATAACCTTAAGCCATTTACAAGTGTTAACAGACCTGTAGATATGACGCTGAGTTGGTGATTCCTTGGTTGCACTGAAGTATCTGTAAGTCAAGAACATTTCCCTTGCCTCAAAAATTAAAATTTCAAGTATAATTACTATGTGGAGGTACCAAGGTGAGGAGGTTAATCTTGTCAATCATTCATAAGATGGAGTTGTTGGTGGCTTGCTAATTCATAGAGTAACCCATTTATATTTTAGTAATTCTTCTAAAGTCATGTGAAAATGTTCAAGTTAAGATCATGGTAGAAGTAAAAATGCATAAGACCTTCCATTCAAGTGGTTATTGTTACACTTTTGGTTGAAGAACCATTTTTAAATGAAAAGGAAGTTTTTGTTCATTTTGGTGAACAAAAATGCACAAGTTGATAAAGCCTGTTTGTCATCATTGTCATTATGCTGACAAATCAGAGAAACATTTCATAAACAATAGAATACTTGCGTGAAATATTTGTGAAAAATATTTTTCATTTGTATTAGAGCAATAAAACTGATGATACAAATAATTCAGTCTAATTGCACTTGAAACTATAAGCAAAGTGGTGTCTCAGACATATTCAGCAAACAAATTTGATGTAAAAAGTTGTTCATTATCTCTATTCATATCAAAAAATTGTTTTCAAATTTGTACAGATTGTAAAAGCATAGGTAATGATTTTCTAAAATATAATATCTTAATGACAGCTCCAGTGAATGCTACTAACACTATCTCATTTTTGTCATCATGAGCAAGAATCTTCACAACTTCCCAAGCTCCACTAGTTAATTCTACAGGATCTGTGTTTCCCTGAAATCACAAAAACCAACTGAATTGCAAATTAAGAGAAGTAAATGAAAACAAACCCACAAACAAATCCTCACCAGCAGAGGTTAAATGATCATTCACTCAGAGACTAGGATCTGGTTGTTCAAAAGTTAGGTAAAAATTTCCATCTGGACCCAGTTGTTCTAAGAGCAGATAACACTATCCGATGGATTAATCGCTATCCAGCAGTTGAGAGTTGACAAAATGATCTGTGCTATCTCCCTTACAGAGAATTAACCAGTGGATCATGTTATCCTCCCTTTGAAAAATGGTCTTTAGCCATACACGTTATGACTAACACTTTGTTAACCTATGAGCACAGCAGGGATATTTAATATGGAAGACCCAGCATTTGAACAACTGTGATATAGAGTTTTGCTACTGTTTTAGTCTGGATGCAACTTGGGTCTAATGCAGGTTTCCCCTACAGCTGTAAGTCTTATCAACCATTCTGTCCTGTTTCCCTGACAGCTGATCAGTAACTACTTCTTTTCCTAAGTGAAGCTGTGACAGTCAAGTGTCTTGCCTGAGAATGCAACACACAAACACAAGAGTCTGCCCACCACTTAGGCCCAGATATTTAAGTTTGGAGTCCAGTAAGCAAACTAATAGGAGAAGTCAGTCAATCACTGAAAATAATGTAATGAACTGTCATTTTTCCAGAACCTATTTAGCTCTCTTGATTGCAAAACAAACCTTTGTCCCTATCTTTGCAAGATGAATAAATTTTCCCACACCACCTGGTTGTGAAAATGGCCATTTCGTAATGAAGTAAGATCCATCTTTGGAGAAGTGAGGAGTTTGGTACTGAAAGAAAGTTGAGATAAATCCAAGATTAATCATGTCATTGACATTACCAGTCATATTTAAAAAATGAAGGTTGCAGGACCCTCCATCATTATATAACTACTAAAAATAATCAGAGAATTTCTGAAAGGCACAGAGAACAACTTTTTACAAGAAAGCATACCTTATCATCCACCCAACCATTCTGCACTTTAACAACAGAGTTCTAAAATAAACAGAGACTTTCATTAAATAACAATTGACACTATCCTTACCCCTCAGGGTGAAGTTTGTGGTTTGTAACCTTATCCCCTCTGGGAGTTTTCTTTCAGACAGTGTACATGAAAATTAAGTTTCAATTGTTTATCTCCTGCCTCAGGAGTTTTTACTGACCCTTCCTGGGTTGGACATAAATAATTTCTAAGCAACAGCATATGACAAAGTCGCTTTACTGGTTATAAGTAACTCATCTTACTCAAAATAAAATTCTTCATTCATAGATATGTGATTGATGATCCATAAATAAGAAGGAGGTTGTTTAATTGACAATTAACACAGTGAAGCAGTTAAAAACCATTTCACATCAATTAAAGACAGTTTTTAACATTTTTTTCCTTTGAAAACATAGCAAAAATGTCTGAATATAATTTTAGAACTAAAAAATACAATTTCAAACTGTGTTAAAAATAAGCAAGCATGAAAAAATGGACAAAATAAACTCTTCAAATATCATGTGTTCACCTTCACGTTCAAAAAGCAATGAATCTGTTTTAGGTGAAACCTTTCAAATGTTTACAATCACGCAACACAAAAAAAAAGTTAATGGCATCTGAAAGATGTTTGAAGATAACCTGTTTACAGATGGAGCGCAGATAAGAAGATGTCTGCTGCAGGTCACACATATGAATAATTGCTTCATTCTGATCTCTGTTAAGCCAGGTCACAATTACAGCTGTTTCTGAAGCCCATGCAATGTTCACAACATAATGATCACTAGGAATGAATAAAAAAATTATAGTAAATTGATTAATATCAATTTCTCATTGACTATTAACTATTGCTGGATGCAGAAGATCCCCTGAAGAGACAACATCTGATTTCCTATTCACCTTTCTGCTTGCTGCCTCTTGGTCATTGAAAAAAATTTGTTGATACAACACAATCATAACCCCTTGATTATACATGCACATGTAAGTTTGACCATTCTAGACACCTGTTTTCTGGATCAAGTACTAATAACATGTGAAGAAGGTCCATGTTAATCATTTCAGAGATCGCACAGATCTCAAATGCGGCTAATTAGTATTCATAAAAAATGGGACCAGAGAGGCAAGTCTGGATATTTATGAATTGAGGTTTGCCTGTATGCTGTTTTGCTATGTAGATGTCAAAGCCTTTCCAGTTACAATGGCTACACCTTGACCCTTTCGTTATTTTTATGGACCTAATTGAATTTGTCTTAATTTGTTTATAACATAAAGTAGAAAAGAACTTGGCCAATATGTAGCCCTCTTGATCTAACACTGGAGGAGGTATATTAAAGTTCACACAGCAACCAGGTGGACAATCAGACATAGTTTGATGCTACTCTGGTTTACAGATTTAATGAATGTAACTGAAGAAGTTACAATTCATAGACCCAATGTTTCGACACTCCTGTCTAGTGCCTTCATCAGGGGTGATCTAAACGTCAACAAGAGAGGTCCTTTTATATGATCACTGATTAGCAGCCTTTTTTCTGACGAGTTGCAAATAGGTGTCAGGAAGCAAACCGCCATCATCACGATTTAGAGGAGCGTGGGCGGAGTTAATATGCCAAGCCTCCAAACAAAGGCGCTGGTGGTAATGCTGATAAGTGGTGATAAGTTTAGAATTATCCCAACCAATTGAATGGTTAGTTAGGCATGTATGCTCCGATAAAGCTGAATTTTCCTTTTTGCAAAGGAAAACCGCTTTTTGGTGCTCTTTTAACCGTGTACAAAACTGATGTTTGGTCTGTCTGATGTATTCATTGTCACAGTCATTGCAAGGAATAGAATAAATGGCGTTGGTTCATTGTTCTTTTGTGACAGGATCCTTAGATTTGGCAAAAATACGCCCCAAAGTCTGAAGAGGTTTTTGAGCAACTTTAACATTGTGGCTATTCAAAATTCTCTTGATGAGTTCCGTAACATCCTGTATGTAAGGAATAACAGCAAAACCAGTCGCTGGTTCCCTTTCATCAAGAGCGTTACTATTTGTAACTGGTTTTTGGCAGTTATGGAGAAAAGTTTTTGTATAGCCATTTGCCTTTAGGACATTGGAAATAAATTTTCTCTCCTCAGCCTTCGAATCGAGTGAAGATGGTAGACAGTCAGCCCTCCTAAGTAAAGTTTTGGCTACAGACTTTTTATGGCAAATAGGGTGGTGAGAATCAAAAGTGAGGTATTTGTCAGTGTGGGTAGGTTTACAGTAGACACTTGTCTCTAAATTACCCTGAACCCCTCTGGGCACATTTAAATCAAGAAAGGGCAAATGTCTATCCTTTTCATGCTCAAGGGTGAATTGGATCAACAGCTCTACTGAATTCAAGGATACCGCGGAAATAACATCATCGACATATCGTTTCCAGAAAAAGGGTTTAACTGGAGGAGGTTTTAGAAGATAAATTGCTCACTTTGCAACTGGAAACATACTTACATTTTCCGGAAATCTGCAGGTTCCAACAAGGACACTGTGTTCCCAGTCTCCAGGTGAGTCACATTCACAATCACTGTTGGGTTTGGATATCCTGGTTTGGGATATGCAATCTTCCTTATTGAGGTATATGAATCTTTCTTATCACCATACCAAGGAAACTGATACAAGATCACTTGAGTGTCATCAAACTGAATAAAAGCGATATATGTAGCCTCGGGGGAAAAGTACAGGGCATGGTCAGAGTTGAGTACCTCCTCTGTAAAAAGGCAAAAAATAACCAAATGTTTAAGTGCAGGAACTAACATAACTAAGAGAACTTAGGAGAACCACTTTTAAAAGTGTACTAAACAGTGAATCTCGACCATGCATTACTAAAATCAGCTGTCAGACCTAGCTGAAAAGAAATCTCAAGCTTTTTTAAACTGATAAAATAATGAAAGCCTCAAATATCAGTAGTTGTTGAAGGTGGTATAAAAAAAAAACAACAACAACAACAACCTTAGTTATCATTATATAGAATGACTATTCACATGAAAAATTATTCTCTGGTTGTAAATTGTAAACTGAACTTTCACCATAAAGCCTTAAAAAACTTAACTCAAACTAAATAAATTTAAAGTGCCTGTCACCCTTTTGTGACAGTAGTCTGATTTCCTACTGAGTCAGTGTTCTCCCCAGGTATTTTGCACCAGGCAGACCACCTGGCTTGATTCATTAAAAAATCATTGCTGCCTGGCTTAAAACTGAGTAAACATTACATAGTTTAACATTTGGAACTGAGATCCTATCTATTGGTAAAGAAAAAAAAAACACTCAATAAAGATACAGAAACATTGCCTAGTGTTTTTTTCGTTGTGTTTTCTCCAAATTGAGGTGTTAGCTCATTTACCCTTTGTGATATCATTCACTCATTTTGTTGAATGGCACAGTTAGCCATACATTCCAGGACACTTAAAGGGATATTACATGGCACACTATACTAAATTTGGTAAAGGTAAAGAATCTGATCCTACCAACGCATCGACCAACATGTCAGCCGACTGTCGACCGACTGTCAACTGACTCATTGGCCACCATTTATCCTTCTAATGTACAAGATGCATTGATGGTGTGTCAGTGGTGCGTCAGTGACTTTCTTTGGGCCTCATATGTAAAGCAATGCTAAACCTTCCTTTTCCACACTAATCTGTACCATCTTCTTTGGAAAACTTTCACTTATGGTATGATAATGAATGACAATGGCCATTATACCATGGTTAACCTGGAGCCCAATTTCAATTGCTCCTTTATTAAATTCAGGAGTCTTTTTGGCTGATAAAGAAGTGATAGTGACAGTCACAAACCTTGATACACCCAATCTGGGATTCCATTAAAGATCTTGTGTTCCACACCACTATCAGTCAGCCGCTTGACAGATGACCTGGGTGACTCCATGTAATAAATGTCATTTTTGTACACAAATGCCTGAAATCAAATTTTAAATGCAACTTGCAGTTAGAGTTTGTTTTCGTACAAAAACATGTTCATCTGAGTCTATAAATAAACCCCACCTTTGCAATTAACAAGTTAAAGGCATGCAAGGAGGCACAATTTTCCCTATCTGATTCATTTTTGTGTGTAAATTGGTCGGTTTTGGGTGCCATCAATTTGTTTCATAAATTTTCAACCAATTGCCATGAAACCAGAGAAGGATTTACTCATGGGAAAAACTTTTTTTTGGAAGAAAAAATTGTTAATTTTACAGTATGCTCCATTCCCATCCTCTTTGTTTTAATTTGTTTTTTTAAGTTTTCATATCTGTTAGAAACATTTGCCACCATTTGAGAGATCTTTAGAGAAAGGGGAGAGTAAATCTTGATAAGAATTGACAAGTGTACAATGTAGGTCAGAATATATCATCAACAGCACTTGGAGGAAGTTGTTCTACATGTTAACAAATACCAATTATATAATAAGCTCAGTTATGCACACATTCTGATTGGTTTTCACTTATGATCTATTGGAGGACAGACGTATAGATGACATCACCATTAAAACTTTTTTTAATTCTTTATTATACAAAACAAATAGATTCCAAGTTGCTGTGTGTCTGTTCAGTAATAGATCACAGAGGACATCAAAATGCAGTACGAACATCAGTGACACACTTGGCTGCACCTCGTGTGCCACATTTTTGTTCTTACCACATTTTGACATCATCTGTGATCTATTACTAAACAGACGCATGGCAACTTGGAATCTATTCGTTAAATTAATCACTGTACCAAACTACTTCCACTCTCATCCCATGTGGCATATTGTATTTTCTTGGCATCTTCTCCTTTCCCAGGATCAATTTGAATAATATCACTGCAGATAAAATGAATTGAATCCTAGACTTTACAACTTTTCAAATCAACTAAAGAATGAAAATACCAACAACATAAGTTCAAGTTTATTAAGTTTGCAGGAAAATCTTTGTACAATAATCACCTCCTGCAAATAGCGAGCTAATCTAAGCAGGCAGTGTTAAGGACATACAACACGAATTACAAAAACACGAATTATGCGAATTACTCGATTTTGCATACATTATTTGACAAAAGAGGGAAAAGGTGATAAAAAGTAAATTAATATATTATGTTTGAATTATAATTAAGATGCCTTTTTTATTTCAGAAATACGAGTGCTAGTGTCAGCATAACTATCCAGACTTCCTAGAGTTGCAAATAGTAATGCTTGAATTTTCTTTTTGAATATGTGCTTCGGCAGACTTCGATAGCTTTCGGGAATACTGTTCCAAATTTTAGCCCCAACGATAGAAAAAGAGTTTTTATTATGATTAAGCCTAGAATAGTTAATATAGTAGTTACCAGAAGATGCTGATCGGGATAAAGAAAATGCTGATGGGTACCCAGATTTACTTTAAGTCTTAGCTAAATGTACATCCTAAACTTGTTGTTATCAAAGATAATTATTGATAAAAGCTTTTCATTTATTTCTGCCACTTTCAAGTTAGGTGGCTAACAATTCAAGAAAGAAATACATACCTATTCACGAGATCATACACATAATACTTTGCAAAAAATGAATATCTGTATTGCTAAAAGAAAAAGGAGGAAAGAAAGAAAGAAAATGAAAAAAGATACAAAACAAAGTTAAAACATCAATAAAAACCCTTCTTTTTCACACAACTGTTGGCTGAAGAAGTGTGGTATAATATATACCAGTGTGGTAATTAATATAATATCATAACTTATGGACAACTGATGTGTAACTTACCTGTAATTGATCTTTAATATAAAGAATGTATCTTCTGTCAGGTGAAAACCAATGTTTGTGGATCCCCAATTTTCTCTAAAAAGGAAAATTTATTGATTTGTACAATTGTACTCCATTTCATTGTCAAATAAAATAGCAGTGTCCCACTAAGAAAGGACAATTGTTTGTCAAACATTCTGTGAAATGCACTGTAGAGGACAGTAACTAATGAAGTCTAAATCCAGCTCAATTACAACACAAGTATCTAATAATCACCTTTGTATCAGCATCTAGTAAAACAACTGGTTTATTCATGGTTAAATCTTTTAATACAAATCCATCTTGTGTGGAAGTTATGTATTTATCATCTGTAATAAAACATAAATTTGTAAGTCAAATGTTGTTATAATGGACTCTCTGTACAACCTATTTATAACCTTAAACCTATAAAATCTGCATAAGCACCACCTGAAAATGATCAGGGATGATGTTTAAGGCATTAAAATGTTAAAATTTATGATTAAAATACATGATTACTGTATTAAAAATGTTTACAAGTCCACTCTTAAATACTTTGTTTAATTTATGTTATGATGAAGTGCGAATATAATGTGCACTGTCATTGGTTGAAACAGCCTGCTCTATCAGAGTATAGAACATAGAGCAAGAAAGCAAAAGCTGTCACGCCATCTGCCAAATTGCACTATGTCCCACCATTTCCTGGACTTTTCTTAAATAAAAATCAAACACAGCTAACACTAGTGTAGTATATTTAGTTTCATATTCAAAAACAAAACAGGAATGGTGAAAAGTACAGCCAAACTGGCATAACTGTGAAATTCATACTAATCATGATGGTGTCAGAGTGACTGCAATAATGCTGAGGTCCATCACAGCTAGCTCATAATGGCAATCTCCCATCATTGCTATGAAACACGCTTCAGAAATTACATCAGCCATTTTGCGAGTGAACAACCAAGAGTTTACTCTGATATCCTTTCCAATGCCTTCAGCGGAAGGCCACATCAGTCACAGCAGCCAAGTTTTATGGCACTGTCATCCCAAGAAATCTTAGGAGGCAGTTTAAGAGCACTCCGATCAAGAAGTGGGGAGAAACACTTGACTATGTCTTGTGTTTTTTCCTATACTTCTTTCATGCTCTAGCTGCATCCTGCGTGCTTTACAATGGAACAAAGTGCAGTCAAGGCTTCTTTATTTGTTAAATATTTTGACAAATTCCAATCAAAATAAAACATAACTACACTGCCCACAGTGTATACCTAACATGTTTCTCTTTCAGTAATAGGATATGGTTAGTCATTCACATGGAGAGAGAGAGGAGTCACTTCACTGACAGGATGAAACACTAGTTACCCGGACTCATAACATAAATCAACACACCCTCAGAAAAATATTTTGTTCATACATCAATGAAATGTTTCAAGTTGTTTCATATAAAATGACTTGTGACAACAAAATTAATGAGAATTCTGTTAACAGTTGTCTGCAAACCATTTCACACATCCTTACTAAACCAAAATCAACCATCTGTGAGTAAATTATTAAAAAACAAAATTGCTAATGATGATCAAATAATGCTCTGGTTGCAACAGAAAGCACAAATGGCTCAAGAATGCAATGAATGTCGTTCTGCAACCACAATCACTCATAGCTGAATTATCCTAATAAAACCCTAACTGCTCATTGGTTGAATGTCTACTTGTTCCAATTTTCCTAAGAAAATCATCAATATCAACCTGAAGATTCTGAATAAAGGAACATCATCTTTCAATCTATTGTTTCCCACAGTATATGAAAAATTGTTCATGGTAGACTCTTTGGTTGGGTCTCATATTTCAGCCTGTGGTAAACATCCTCGCAACACCAAGTTCTCACTTTAAAACAGAGTCTTTGGCTTCAATTTTATATTGACTTAATTGTAAATTTTGTACATAAATTCAAATGGTTTAAAATTTTCATCAAATAGTGCAACATATATGTGTTCTTGTAGATCCAGGATGGAAAAGGACTGCTTGACACCTCAGTGAAGATTAGTTCTTTAATGCCATGGGTGGACAAGGAGCTTTTTTGCGATTTGTTTAAATACACATTTTCTGACTCACTTTTGAGTTATTGAAAAAAACAAAACAAAACAAAAAAACTATATGTTAGCATATAGAGTGGTATGTATCTGGCACCAATCAGATCACCATATGAGGGTATGTATCTTGCACCAATCAGAGTGCCATTTTTGTTCTTTGGTTTGAGAGGTGTTCAAATTTCAAAGAATTAGACTGGGATTCGTAAAATGGAATCATCAGTTAGAATAAGAAATGCTGCTTTTCTGTGTTTTTAACATGTATTTTACAGCACTTTATGACAAATGCAATACTACTGGATGGATGAAAGACATCAGCTTACCTATTGTAAATGTGTTTCTCATGCTGTGGAAATGGTGGATGGTTGTTCAAAAGAAAATGGAGTTCTGTGCACTGTAGCATGATCATGGTTATTGTTCCTTCACAACAAGAGTAAGTGGAAAAATTTTCAATCAAATATTGCTTGTGGTGTTCATGAATTGCAACAAACATTTTGATTTTCAGCAGTTCTTTAATGGCAAGCTGTGTTGCAAGATTCATGATTTGTTAAGAGTGCAAATTATATTTTTCTGGATTGGTTTGCTTGATGCTATCTCTAGATGAATGTCTGATTAAAATTAACAATGGGCAATTTTGTGTGGCTCCTATGAAGCTTTGTCCCCTCATGTGACATCGTGTTTGATTGATATGCAATATTAAGGGGTGTTTTCATTTAACAATGATTTTCAACAAAAGATGGTTGAGTTCTCTCTTTAATGGTTTGGTTGCAGTCAATTTCATGGTGCATTTCTCTTGGATCAGGTCTTTCGATGTTAGAAGTTTGAACAGTTGTAAGCCTATTGCAAGGTGGATTTTGTGTCATTATTGACTGTTGAGGGAAATTGTTTGGCTGTTTCAAGGGTAATTTTGAGAACACTGGACAAATGGAAATGTTTTCAATGCCTGGAGAAAGTGATCTTGTGGATTCATTTATGTTTGGCCAAGGGCGAATTCAGATACCATCATTAGCATGTTTATTTGAATCTGTTATCTGGAATGATCAAATGATTTACAGAGGTAAGGTAATATGATGTGATCTACTAAAATTGAAAATATATCAAGTCAAAGGAACAGTTTTGGTCTCGGTCCACATTTTAGTCAACAAAATAAACACATACCGCTTAAAAAGACGATAATACAGACCACATGCAAAGCTGTCAATTGTTTCTTGAATATTGCCCTTGTTACCGTAATTTCTGGCCATTTACCCGCATTTACCCTCACCAGCCAATTATTGCATACAGCTGAAAAAAAAAGTTAACAGATTACCCACACTGGTGGATAACCCGCATGCTATGTTATTCAACTTTATTATTTCAATATTAAGGTGATACATTTCAGTCTTTTAAAAGTTGTCTGATCTAACTTTTGAAAACTTGAAAGCGTCTTTGTCGAGTTTAAAGGTCAAAGAAATTCAGACGTGTACACAATTCTGTGTCAATGTTAGCATGTATTTTATTAATAAAATTATACAGTAAAAACACTAGTGGTCCATGCTCAAATCTCAACATATCATACTTAACAAAATGCAAATTTGTGGGCACATTTTGTGCAAGCGATCGTTCAGCGCCTTTTTGAAGGCGAAAGTTGGGTGAGTGTTAAAACTTGAATTATAAAGTACTGTCGGCAATTTCTGAAAAAAATTGACATCTCCGGTTTTATTGGGCTTAAAAAGTCCCTTAAAACAGGAAAATTCTCTTTAGCTCAAGCCAGTGTTAAATGGAAATTTGTTACTGATGTGACGGTTATCTTTGGATTATTTTTGTGACCATCAAGGTTTTGTTTTCACGCATGCCGATAGCAATTTGTTTGTCATGCAAATAATTATGCATCATGTTTTAATGCCACTTTGTGGCACTCTTAATACAATAAATTTCATTTGAGAGGTGGAAACGCATGTTGGTGATAATTTTTTTCAATTCAACTACTAGTAGATTTTGAAATTGTCACATAACCCACACCTCCCTATTACCTGCAGTGGTGCACGTTTAATGCAAAATCAACAGATTACCTGTGGGTAAACAGCTGGAAATTACAGTAATATTCAATAGTGACATTTCATTTACATCTACATCTACATCTACTTTTATTAAGTTGGTAAAATCTGTACAGACATCACACCAGCCAACTTGCACGCAAAGTGATAAGACTATATGAAGGCTTGAAATTATATTAAGAACAATTTTGATCAAGAAATGGGCCAGGAATATTCCACAATAGTGCATATACTTGTGAAAGCTGATCACGGAAAAGTGATTGCATGACGCTCAGTAAGTTGTAAGATGACATGTTCTCACATACCAGACGAAAAAAAAACTTTTCATTCTCAGTCTGCATTTTGTACCCACTCTGCAGTCTGCAGTCTACATTTTGTATCCGGTCTGCACTCAGTGCATTCTGCAGTCTGCAGTCTGCAGTCTACATTTTGTACTAACAGGTATCCCTGGCGACAGTACAGTTTATTTTTGGTTACAGTTATTTGCACAACACACACAATCAACCCCAAAATACCTGTGTGTGAGTTAATTCAACATTTTTGTTCTTTTCCATGTTAATACTCTTTCCTTTTGTAAAAATGTAGACATCACTTACAATGTTTCAATTAATCCACCCACCCAAAAATACAACTCTTGCATGCATAGCATGCATTTGTAGAATTTCATTTGAACAAATGGGTATTGCCTGTGAATTGACTGCAGTGTGTTTACTTCATTGTGTAATTCACAAACAAAAGTGCACATGGGAATAAGAAGACCACTCCTCATGCACACCATCTCTTTGACTCCACAACTTAATTTAACCACATAAATTTATATGTTTTCAAGACTCCCACTGTAGGTTGATTTTACTAAGTATAAACCAAATGACAAAACAATAAGAGCTGCAAAAATTGCTTTAAGATAAATAAGTCAAAATTAGTCAAAATCCAAGCAAATCCTCCATTATCCAATGAGTACACTATGTATAATTAAATCAAGATGCTTTGGCTTGCCAGTCTGAAATAGTCCCACAAGTACCAGGCCTATTATTTTCACATTGTCTTAGGACCAGGGCCTTACTTAATAAGCTACATTTTAAGTAGACTTGAATTAGTGAAGTTATAATATTTGATAAATAGATTAAAACTCACCATCTACCCAGTCACATGAATACATTGCAGGAGAAAAACGACCACTGAAAATATCTTGAAAATGAAACTTATCTGCACTTCGAACCATTTTAGCTGGGAAAGATTCACCTTTACCTATAGAGATAAAAAGAAACAGAAATGTGATTATTGAATATAACATGCACAGTATAAATTCCTCTTACAAGTTAAAAGATTCCCAGAAGCAAGCTGTTGTGAAGAGAAGTACGTTTGACGGTTCTTAATACAGTGTCTTACAATTAAAGTTTTATTATTAATTAATTATTTAAATTCTTTGTTTTACTTTTAAAAACATAAAATTGTTTCTACCTATTTCATACCCCTGTGAATTGCAATGGAAATGTTTGTAAATACCAATTCAGATATCTCTCATGCATGCTCACTGTGTACAGCATGCCTGGTCATCTCATCTTGTTTACAGTTACTCTTTGTTAAGATCTGCCACTCTGCCTTAACTTAACCTCCTTGCAGTTTTGGGTCCTAGGAGAGATGGCTCTCCATCTTTCAAAACACATTTCAATATTGGGTTCACTATTTCTGTATCTTAAAACATGTATCATTTGCATAGATAGAGACACGTGACCAAGCCTTTTTATCAATTATTCACACTTTTCTCAGACTTGTACTTCCTCTACTATTTTTTTCCAGCTGAATTACCAACCAGTTATAAGTGTTTATCAGAGTGTATTCATCATACCGTATACCTACTTAATTTCCAGACACTTGTCAGTCATGTTGATTGGCCAAAAAAATACCAGCAGTCATGTCTCATTTCTGACATACCCGCCAAAATGTCAAAAATATCTATTTTAAAGTATTGGCCAATTAGGACAAAAATTTCTCCTTGTATGCTCAAAAACTAATTGCTAAAGAGTATTGAGAGTTCACTGGATGCATTTTCACAGGATGAAATGATTTCTATTTGACAGAAAACTGGACATGTGAGGCTGACAAGGAGAATGTCAATGAAACCTCCATATATTGTTTTCAGCAGATGTCACTCCCAACTCCATTTGGGGATTTTTTGTTTATGGGTTTGTGTGTGTGTGTGTGTGTGTGTGTGTGTGTTACTGGTCATGTGGCTGTGGACTTGAGTTTTCTTTGCCAGAGTTTTCGAGACTTTGTAAACTGTGCTGTTTGTTTTCAGCTTCAAGCAAACAAGTCAGAAAGTTACCAATTCTTGTGCTTTACCATTAAAGAAACCATTGGAGCCTCTTGCCTCATGACATTCCAGACCACATGCAAATTCAACACAGGAAAACCAGTGTGCCAGTGATGGGAAAAGATTTATGATATTTTGTTGATGTGACATTTTTTTTGGCCAGCTAAAGCTGTACACAGGCTTTTGTAATTTGCAAGTTTTCAAATTTGCCTTGAGAAGGATTAAGGCTTGTACTCCTATTATGTTACATTCTTCTACACATGTCTTGAGTGTGAAAACAGTTCTGGTCATTAGCATTTTGAGTTCCGTTCAAAACGAATAGGGCATACGCTCACACTTCAGGTGAGGGATCTCTTGAAGAATTCAATGTCACATACAACAGCAAAGCCCATACTTATTGGTGCCTGAGTAAATTGATAAAATACATCACCATTGGGGGAAAAATACTGTTAGTCTTAGATATCTGCGGAAGTCATTTAATGCTAGAAGACTACAAATAAATTGATAATTAAAAGTACATTCAGATGCTGGAGCAACAATAAAAGAAATAAAAAGTTACTATTTCAGCTGGTAAATGTGGACCGTCAGTCACCCTGGAATTTATTTTTTCTTATTTTTTGCAGTATAAGCAGACATTTAGCACATCCCTGTTTGACAAGTAGCACCATGACATAGATGTTCCACTTGTCAGCACATATTGTATATGTTCAATCACCAAATGGAGAAAAATTGAGAGAAACCTTGTAATCATAAAATTCAAAGCATTTTACAACATATTTTATCTCATGATTTGGAAGATGATAACACTTGCTATGAATAAGGAATTTTTAACTTCTTTTGAGAGTAAATCTTCTCATCCTACACAACAATTGAAACAGTACTGTAATTGTGGGTTCATAGCAGATGTTGATTGATGTGATATCTATTTGACCTATCAACTGACGTAGATGTTTCTGTGTTATTCATGCAAACCCATAAACCCTCCTGGCAACCACAAACATCCGTGTTCACCTTTTTCCTGACAACAAGCAGCTACAATATTTCATGATTTAACTGCTAATCGTTTCCGCAATTAATGTGAATATCAATTTTCCCACTTATTAATTTGAACGCCCTGTCCATGACCAATCAAAATGATCACAAAACCAGAGTCTTATTCAAACAAACTCTCATCCTGACTAGACAGTATCTTTTAACCACCCCTTATTTCGAGTCTCATATATCTATACCTAGTTTTACTATGGTTTCTACTAGGCATGATTTGGTGATTCAAACTCTTAAATGCTCTCTCTTCATAAAAAAGAGTTTTCTTCAGAGCTTCCATGATGTGCTGCTGTCAGTTATCAAATTTTCCACAAAGACTTTTTATAATGCGTTGGCAAGGGGCCCTTTTGAAATGATCGTGAGATATTTATTGTTGTCTGTGGCATCCTGGTAAGAAAAATATCTTCCATTTTACTAGATATAATTCCCTGATTCAAACTAAAAAATTCTCTCTCTTCAACTACAACAATTTTCTTCAGTGTCCAGGATGTGCCAATCTCACCAAATAGTTTTTTTTTACTATGAATATTTTTGTTTTTATCACCTGTCCCCGAAAGGCCATTTTGACTTCTGTAGCATCACAGCAAGCATGAAAACAATTATTTCTTCAGTTCTGCTGAAGCAATTCTCTAATTAATTGTTGCTAAGGTACGCTGCTCATATCTACTTGATAAGACATATCTACTAAGTACTTTCACTTTGTGTGGCTTGCTTTGCATATTTTCAGAAATTTAAGAGTCCCCAATTAGTGGTCTTATTTTTTACATGTACAATTTTTTTTAAGCATGTGATGAAATTGGCTGGTGAGAAAAAACTATGATAAGTTAGCAGGACTACAGACTACAGCAGTGAACAAACAAACACAAGAAAGAATCAAGACAATCAACGGACAATTGGTGCAACTTAACCACTAGTTTTCATCCAAATACAATGCCCATTGAGATAATCAATGACCATACTACAATAGAGAAAACAATTGGCTAACTCATACCTATTAATTATTCAATTGCCCTTAAGAATAGATGCATATGCTTATCTGTCAATACTAGTAAACATAGATTTTTAGGCACACACTATCAATGTTTTATGTGCTCTTTCTATTTTGGTCCCCTTATCTTGAGCTGTATATAACTACCAAGCAATTTTGCTTGTTGAGTTTTGTTTTTCATATTTTTAGAAATTCCGGAGTTAAATATAGGGCCCCCAAAAATAAGTGGTTCAGACTTTCAGACTTGACTCTAAATCAAACTTTTTTTTTCCCCAAGCAATATATCATTCAGGAGTTCAATTATAAAAATGCAATACATGGAGCTTGCAGTACAGCCACATTATCTTGATATGTGTAATGGGCAGTCTTTTGTGAAAGTTGTATTAAGTTTACTTAAACTTGCAACATAACCCTTGTTGAAAATTTAAGAAATCCTAGCTTTTTACCTTAAATTTGCATATTAAGTTGATATAGATTAACATGCAAGTTCATGATATGCTCAAATGTTATCAAGTTCTGTCATACTTTCTGAATACATGACACTGCTTAATGGCTGTCACCAATTTAATCAACCCAGAAAAAACTCTTCCAAGATATCTGCCCCTTAGTTTGTCTCAAAACTTAGATCACTTCTGATGTAAATCACTTCTGATGTGCATCACTTCTGACGTGGATTGCCTGAAGGATCAACACTGAGATAAACAAAGGAAATGACTATTTTGCAAGACATACGATTCTCCTTCACTTCAGGTGTATTCACAATTATTATTACCAGCATCCTTTTTGACTGCTTTGAGTCATAAGACTACTATTCCTAATTAGAAATCCATAAACAAATTTCTAAAACTTCTCAACTTCTATAATCTTCACTCTATGTTATCATTATTCATGAAAATAATGAATTGCTGCAGAACACCCCCAACTTTATTTTGTATGAGCTATGAATATTCGTATCTCAGCCAATTTCAATTGATTTAAAGCTGAAGTTGTCCCAGGAACGTCTTTCATCTTTTACTTCTGTATTTTTGTGCCTACTATGTAATGTAAAAATTAGCTGTAATCACTTTTTCTCTCAATAAAATAAAGTTAATCAAGTTTTTGGCTTCTATTTCTGTGTTCAAATCAAATTTACATAAACATAAAAGTTTTCAAAATCAAAAACTTCGTGACCAACGACTTTCTCGCTGATCACTGGTAAAACTAACAAAATATGATGCGAAAAATACCAAATACTTCCCCTTCATTTTGGAAAAAAAACCACAAAAAAGAGGGATAGACGGAGCTCATAATGAACCGTGATATGCTGAACAAAATTCTTCTTCACAGAAGCGATGACAAAAAATAGATCCCAAAGAATTGTGTAAAGGCACTGTAAGCTAATTTAACACCCCCGAGCCCCCCTTAACAAACTAATGCTATTTCGTCTTTCAGAAATGGTAACCTATCCCGGGAAAAAACCACAAGCTGCGGGTGTTGGTTTAAAAAGTACTGTATAGATTCAACCAAACATGAAACTTTACAGGTAGCTTCGCTAGGTGGGTTGGTGTCTTCCACTAGATCGAACTACTTTTAGGGGAACATTTTCACTCCCCGCTCACGGGATATAAAAAGCCTAGCCATAAATTAGAAAAGAAGGACAATTTAAACCACAAATGACTATTCCCTCCTACAGCAATAACTTCATCGACGAAGACAATCGAAGAGAAGGGACTCTTCCGTGTATTTCGATCACAAGTGAGTGCGTGAAAAGATCAACTTACAAAACAGAGATCAAGCCGAAATAAAATGCCCCTGGTAAAACAGAGTTAAAGAATAGAAACAGAATACGCCATTAACAAATCAAGGTTGGAATAACAAGCAAAATTTGAAGTTACACAATTGCAAATTTCTTGATGAACACCTGGCTCTGATCTTCTGAGCGATTCAATTAGCGGCACTATCGTTAGGTAATGCAAAACACTTTCTAAAAGCGCTGAATTTCGCATCCTAACTCAAAGATTCTCCGTCTATAACTATCGCTTACCAGAATATAAAGACACCATAACTGTTCCGACTACTAACGCTACTGCTACCGCAGTAATTCCAAAAAAGATCACCAAACTCTTCCGATTTAGACGGGAAGACTGAGGACTCTCGGACTCGTGTTCTTCATCGTTCATCAGATGCACTTGCTCTTCCGAGCCACCAGAAGCGTTTGAGTAATGCGTCGTCATTTCTTGATACTTTTGGAGATTTCCCTCCCCTTAATTCCAGTTTTGTCCCATCGATGAAGGTAAAGTAGCTCTTTAATCCGCCGCCCCCTAACTAGTTTGCGTTCGAGGTCTATCCAAAACAAACTTTTCTCTGACTCTCTTCAGATAATCAACCCGTGATTTGAACCTGCGAGAAAAGAGACCAGCGGACACTTTCATGTTTGTGGCATTAGGTCAATATATACACCTGACGTCAATCAATCCGTCGAACGATATGCTCTGTTTGAGCTTGGTTTGAGTCAAATTTTTAAAATTTTTTTGGACAAAAGCAATCACTTCTTTATTTTCGAAAATATTTCGTTAGAAAAGTTTTCCTTTGGAAACGAAAAATATACACCGTTGACTTAGCTCTTGGCCTTGTAGGCCCGGATGGCCATCTAACCTGAATAACCTATTAAAAACGCTTATCAAGTTGTATCATATACCTCAACTTCTGTCCTTTCCAGAGGTGGCCGTGAAGGGAACCTCAAAAAACGGCAATATGGCCACGCCACTGATTACGTAGAGAAAGGAGATCATCATCATCTGATAAACTTTTTCACGTATCGTTTCTTGAGAGCGTTTCTTCATGTGTGAAATTTATTGTTTGTTTGTTTCTTTTAATATCAGGTCAAGATCCGTTATCACCAAGGGAAGGTATTTGCGCAGACTTTAGTTGGAACAGGTATCGTTGGCTCCCAAAGTGCTTTATCCTTTATCTGTGTGTGTAGTCGCTCCTGGTTCATCAAAAGACGTTGTTGCTTTTTCGCGGACACACCTAATACGTTAGGTTGGCGCGGGTGATCAAAACAGTTGTTGCACTCAAAAAGTGTCTTCAAACGATCATAAAGTACTCAATTTGCAATTTCCCATCGATATCTACATGATAAACAGAACCCTAATGGACGTAAATAGAATTTTATCTTCTTGTGTTGTCTGTCACTCGGTCGCTGCAGTAACCTCGGGACCAAACAATCAGTATTTGCATCCCCCCACGGCAATATAACTTCTTCCATTTATTAGTTTATTATTATTATTATTATTATTATTATTATTATTATCATCATTATTGTTATTAACGATATCTACGATACCTTTAAAATATATACTTACAATACAAGGGACTACAAGAAAAGAAAAATACATGGTTGGATCCATTTATCAGTTAATTACATAATCAAAATAAACTTTTCTACAGAGATTCTTTTTATGAATCACTTGATGGGAGACGTCTTGGCATGATGGTTGACAGTAATTTTGTATTGTTTACTAAAGTCACACTACCCTCCGACTGCTTCCACTCTCTCAGAAGTATACGTGAGTACCAGCCAACTGATAAGAAAAATAAAGAAGAAGCTAAGAAGTAATGTGCGATTGAATAATATGCCATTGCGAGAGGGTGGGGTTTGCAATCCTGGTAATCGTTCCATGCTTGGGAAACTGGAATAAACTCCGGCTCGATGAATAACTAGGTTCTTTGACTGATTTTACCTTGTCATGTATTATTAGACGATTTTGCAATAACCAGCTAAGAAATTATCGAGTAAGAGTTATCACCGTGAAAGACCCAAACATTCCGACAACAATACATTGATCCCCAGTCCATGGACTACCCTGATAGACTGCCCTGAAGTGGACCAGCCCTCTGAGTCTTCTGTCTTCGTTAGCCACAACAAACATCACAAAATTTAAGCGATTATTTTAAACATTCAAAGTCTTTCATTTGAAACATGACTTGAAGTCATGATCCTTCCCTTAATATAGGTCTTAAAGTAATCTTTAATCATCTTTCATTCTATTTAAAATAGGTTCCATGGTGCCGCGGTATTTAGTAATAGATCACAGATGACGTCAAAACGATATGTGAAGTGTTTTTGAGAAATTTATCGCATTGACTGAAAAAAATAAAGAAGGCACTTGCATGATATAAGTATAGACATAGCATTCCTTTCAATAGTACTCTGATTTGAAAGAGGATTTTTCAAGGCACTTCGGGGTAGTCCTTTGGCGTAGTCCATCGCGGTAGTCCATGGACTGGGGGTCAGTGTTTTCGCACGAATCCGCATGACACAAGTGATTAACATCTAACTTCTCCCTACGATATTCAGACATCATCCAGCAGATGGGTAATGAGAAAGCTGAAACCTACCAGGTAGAAGTTGTTGTTGTGATCTAACACCAAATTCTTGTAACTAATTTACAAGGAGATGTGCACGAAGAGGGCACAATTGACAATTAGATCTTGGAAGTGTCTAAAACTTTATAATTTGTTACAACGTAAGGAAAAGGCGCAAGATATGCAGCAGTCGAATTCTGCAAATATTTCGTGCATGGTACATTTGTCCAATTTTATACGATGTACTCAGGTCTCTATGAAATGTGATTGCTGACCAAGCATTTACTGGCTCAATAGCTGCGCATGGTTAATTTTGTGGGTGACCTGGAAGTAAATACCCGAGATGTTAAAATTGGTTCCTGTGGGATTAATTGATCATTAAATGCTGTGAAAACATTGTTCTAGGTGATTTGTTGCATTTATTTTCATTCTCCTGGTTACTAATCACTCTAAATGATCTGTGCATATGTTAGTGACGAAATTTTAAAGGTTTCAATCTTAAACGTGCAGAAAACTTTTCATGACCAGTCGCATGATTCGGATCAAATCTTGGAGAAATCTATCATCACTTGCCGGGACATTCGCCAAAAAGCACGAACACGATTACACTAAACTGATTACGGCCTTACCTAAAAAGAGTCTCATTGTTGTGATGGACCTCCTCCGCGCTACTATTTCTAAAAAATGTTTGTAAAATTTTATTGAATTCAACATAGTTGCAGTAACAAATCAAGAACGAGGTAGCTTTAATATCCTCGGTATCTTGGGTCGGAAGTAGCAGAGAAGATTGAGTTACAGTATCATCCAAATCATTTACAAGGTAAGGTGAAGATGTTGTTTGTTTTCTAGGAGCCGAAAAAAAAACCTCATTATTCGAGAATAAAGAGGTTTTCTTGACTGGATTCAAAACGCTTGAAAACCCTGAGAAAATCCTGGTTGATAATTAGTTATTTATAACAGCTGCTATTTCATTCGAATGAATCACCTTGTGTGACGCTGCACACTTAACTTGAAAACCTTCAAGAGTGCACTAAAAATGTCAAAAATTCCACAAAAACTCGAAGCGCATGTTAGAAACTTAGCAATTATACTGGACTCGTAGTAGAAAACACTAGAAAAAAAGTAGACTAACGACGGAACTCTTTGTCACGCCAATGTTTTCTTAGCTACACCCGAAGAGGTTGGCCTTCTTCCCTTCTTTCCCAAATGAATAAGACTTGACCGAGAAAAAGTATGCTGTTCGCCAGAAATCACAGGAAATCCTAAGATAGTGAACACTGATTTTATATGACATTCACTCTGAATATTTACATGCTTTGCACTGAAGTTAGGATAGCATTTAAACCAAATGTTCCCTTCATGATGTGTCTCAGCTAAGCAGATATAACTAGTATCCAAGGAATCAAAGACTCTGCCCTGAGGCTTTTTCTTCTTCTGTAAGGGTAGTTATCTCTTTGGAATAACTTGAATCATAAAACAACATTTTCAAACAGCTATCAGTCAGAAAAATTTCATACAAACTCATGGCCTGTAAAGATTATTACATAGATATACTTCAAATGATTGAGTTCATTTCATCACGTTTTCGACGGTGTGGGAGAAAATTCACACATAGATTCGTCGCTTCGTGCTGAGCTTGCAATACATGAGGAGTTCATGTCGTGAATAGAAAGCTTCGTGTTGTTGCTTAATCGAATTATTTTACATGGATGAAACAGAAATTCCCCCCTTTAAAATCCTATCATTAGCTCCTGCCTTTAAGAAGACCTCAGAATCTGTACTTGGAAATATTGGCGTGGTTCTTTCATCGTATTGGAAGCCTGCAATTATTTGAACACTCTGGATTCTTTTTTTGTCAGGCAAGATCTTTAAAACTTAACTCAGTTGTCCGGCTGATCAATTTCAGTTTTGAGGAGGCCTCTGGTCTTTTCTTGTTATTTAATTTCTTTTGGGAAATGTTAAAAATAACGCGTGCTTATTTTATCGCGTGTTCTGAGGCTAGTTACAATCTGATAGATCATTTGAACTCTTCGCATTTTTATTTCTGACGGTTACGACTGCTTTTAAATGGATACTTTTATGGCAAAATGTTACCTTCTGTAGCTCTTCAGTTGTTGCTAAACTTAAATAGAACCAAAGCCCTTTTTCTGCTTTGATTTTGATGCCCAGTTACTCGGACAGACGATATGGCATGCATGGTCTCAAGTTGCTTTCAAATCATAATTGTTTTGTTTGTCTGTATGTTTTCGAACTTTGTACTTATCGCAAACTGGAATAGATCAGCGCTGGTTTTATTCAGGAAATGGTTACGAAATTTAATTAAGGATGAATAAGTCAGTGTAAATGTTTTTTTTTTCTTTTTTGAAGCATTTTACCATCTTGTGAAACTTCGGATCAAGGTTAATCCTCGGGTTATCCAAATTAAACCTGACCTGTTTTGATTTGTCTGAATGACACAATGTTTCTAAATGAAAACAAATCTCAGATTTACAATGGGAGCTCTCTGAACTATTTTAACACTGCTGCTTCCTAAATGATGGTCGCACAATCCTTGGTACCCAAGTTTCTCTCGTTAAAGACAATCTCCGAGCCATCGTTTAATAGTTATCATCCCAAAAGGACCACACGAAATATCTAGACTGATAAGTTAACGATTGTTGTATATAAAAAGTCAATGAATGATGCAATTTATTTTGAGCGTCCATCGAGTTTGTTTGCCTGGTTTGCTTAGAGAGCCCTAAACATCAAAACTAGGAGAAAACAATGGGAACCGATGGGCAAAGGTCTTTGAAAAAGAACTTACCCAGCCTATTGGGATCAATTCCAACGACATCTCAAATATTTTCATCTGGTTTCTGGTGATTTTAGCGTTTGTCTTTGGATAAGTTCAACTCTAATAGGACATGTTTAACCCTAATGCACTGTTAAATGTTGGGGTCTCTTTAACGGCCAGAAATAAGGTTGTTTTTTTTTGCGTTTATTTTGAAACCCGTTTCTCAAAATAGATGATATTGTACTGGGTCAAGCTGCTCCAGACGATTTTTCTGTCTGAACATTTGCGGACTTTGCACTTCTACAGGAAATGGTTTTAAAATTTGATTAACATTAGAGAAGGTGATGCTCATTAATCAGCGTAAATGTTTTCTGTAATTTTTTTTTCTAAGTGATTGATCAAATCTTATGAAACTTGGGTCTCAGGTTAGTCTTTAGTTTACTCAAATTTAAAGTAAAATCTTTGTTTTTTTCTGACTCGATCATACCCTCTTCTAAGTGAAACTCAAATTTTGCTGTAACCGGCTTTCTTAGTTATAGGAAAATTTTGTCGCTTTATTTTTCATTTAATCATCTTAACTCAGAAAGACGGTGACACACCCTCTTGCAGCCAAGTTCCACTAGTTCAAATAAATTCCAGATCCCACCCTGGCTTTCAACTCTAAAAAAACGCTGTCCGACTTAGGAGAAGTCGGTGGCACATAATCTGCACTCCTCAACGTATTGAAGGAACTAAATATAAAACAGAAAACCAGAAAACAGGCCAAGATGTTTACTAAAACCAATAAACAAATTAAGGAAAAAAATGGAGTGAACTTTGCTCAAAACCAACAAACCGCAAAGTTCTAGATTAATGATCCGAGTAAATGTGGACATTTAAGGCCACGAATGTAACAAAGCTTAATGTCTAAAACAGAGAACTCCATTTTCATCCATAAAAGCCAAAAGGGAAAGTAAGAAAGGGAAAATAGGTAAACTACAATGGGTACAAAACTGAGAATCTTCAGTCGCCTCCTTATCCGTGGAGTGTTTGTCTATTAGTAGTGTCATCCAGTGGAGCCTGAAGTCTCCATTGACTACCCACATGACATACTGCGGCTTTGTGCGAACCACCATTTATGACAGACGAATTTTTTAAAGAAGAAATATACCAGCCTTGTTAACGACAAAGGTATCAAAGATTCCTTTTACGTGGAGCTTACGTAATCAGATCATAACTTACACTGACTCTTATTCATCAAAACTCAGTCATCCATGAAGCTGGCGAGACAAGTAAGTATTGAAGAGTTCTCTTGTTAAAGTACGAGGGCAATGAATGACTAAAAAAATCAAAACAGCAATGGTAGAAATAGCAAGAGACTGTTCTCTCTTGGAAATACTTATTGAAAAGTTCATCATCTTTTGAAACAATGAGAATGATGGGTTATGATACTTCTTTTTTCCGACACTAAGTTCTAAGTTCTAATGCGCTTTACGATTACGAAACTAGTGCATTTGTAAATGTTTTAAGTTTGGCGCAAATATAACAGTTTCCCCTATTGCAATGTACCAAGGAACATAATTGGATTGTTGAAATTCTGAGGTGAAAAAAATCAAGACTTTGTCTCTTGGATTTGATGGGTGGGGCAGCCTAGCAACGACCGGGAGGATGCCAGCAAAATTTTGACGGATGACATCGTTGAATGATGGCTTCCAGATCTGTGGCAGGTTGTCCATTACAAGGAGATCCCTTCAGAAAAGTTAGGATATAGAGATTATTTTGTGGAAAGTGAGTACGAACAATTTTTTTTCGAGTTGCGATTCATCAAAATAACGAACTAGCGAGTGCAGCGAACCAGTGAGGTTTTTGATGCATCGCAACGAATGAATAAGAATCGTTCAAGCATTTTCCATGGTATCATGGGTATGGCGGTATGATGTTTTTAATTCATACATACTGAGATATTTTCTTACTGACCGACACATTTCAAAAATTGGAAGCCATTTGATGCCTTCCAGTGTGAAGTACTATAATTGTTCTTATCTCTGATTGGACGAACGATGTATTTTCACAGTCGTTCACTCATGAAATGCCTGTTTAAACAATATGAAGGCTTGTCTGCAGTGGAACTGGGCGGTCGAGCAAACTCCAGTTGTCAGGTACAAGTCTCGTAAACCGCATGTTCCCAGTCAAATGAATCACTTAGCTTTTAAATACTGTTTTATTTCTTTATAACTTACGATGAATTTTCTCCACTCCCATCGCTTTCATACCTTTTGGCTTAGTTGGCACCGAAGATGTTTGGTTGAGTGTTTGCCTTAGTTTAAGATTCGTCCGAAAAATATTTTGTGAATTAACATGGCATAAAATCGAGAACGCCTCTCTAGAATGAATTCCAAGAAGCGTTGATATGTTTCAGGTACGTTTCATTAACACGTTGTTCACAAGAGCAGCAGATTAGATTCAAAGCTGTCTAGATTATTCAAACAGCGGATGTATTATCTCACTGAAAAATTCTTCTTTGGTTGTAACAAACTAGGTGGCGAGTCAAATTAATGTAACCCTGAAACAAGTTAACCCTTTCACTCCCAAAATCTAATCAATAATTCCCACTACTGTCTTCCATACAATTCCCGTCATGTTAGTTTGGAGAACTTGGAATAGGATCAACTAACAATCCCCAAATTAATATTTTTCGTTATTCTCATCACTTGTCTGCTTAAGTTTGTATGACATTGTAACGAGAAATTCTGCTTTGGCCACTCATGGGAGTGAAAGGGTTAAAAATTGTTGTTGTTGTAAAAATTTACAACACCCCGTCAGTCACTCAGCCATAAAGAGACATCCCTCACATACATAATGCCTACATTTCAGTGAAGTCAGTAAATAGGTTACACTTAATCCTAATTAATTTCCACAGAATATCAAATGAATAACGAGAATAACAATTTTTATGGCGCCACAGACGCTCTTGTTGCTATCAATAGATCACGACTTTGGCTAAAATGAAAATTGTGCACTTCTGAGATTCTTCTGCGGTTCAAAATTTAAAACAGAAAAAAAACACGATATTATTCGCGTTTTCGGTACAAAATCTCCAAGATGAACGAGTAAATAGGCCTCGCAAAGCAAGTTCAGAAACTGAAAGATGGTCAGACCATTATAATCTCCTAATTGGGTTAACTAGATAAATAACGGTCACTGACATGGATACTGAGGATCATTCAGGGATCTCAGCGTGACCCACCATTGAAGGAGAACAGGTAGCTATTCGGCAAGATGATTGTTTGGATAAATGTTTACGGCAATTAGGGAGGACCCTAAGAAAAGCTAATCACTCAGGCAGCAATCCAACAATGAATGTCTTAGTACTGAGATGGATAGAGGGCAAACAGAGTTTGAAAGCTTTAAGAGAAACTTTTTCTCTCCACAAAACTCAAATCATATTTCCCCACTGGCGCACGTTCGTCTTCATTTGTTCCATATCTTGAAGAGCTGGAACCATTTCCACTCAGAATAAATCGTTGATTACTTCCACTGTCAATCGTGCTATTTTTAGAAGCCAGAGACACTTAACACTGGAAAGAAATGATCTTAGAATTTGGACTCCCAAATTTACTTGGTCTTTTTTCATCGTCGTCTCCGACATGAATTAATGGAAGTTCCAAAGGCCAAATGACTTTCGTATATTTAAACAATGGAAACTCCGCTATTCTAAATTGAGTGAGTGTTGAAGTTAACTCCTTCAGATGAACTTTATTTCAATCAAAGCGAAATTTCATTCAGAGGATACCGGTAAAATTTAGCGTTCATTCAACTTGTCATTCTCTAAGTAAGGTCAGATTCTAGTGTGTTAGTAAAATTTTGAAATACTCTGCTTGGTTTAAGTTTAATCACAGTATTCCGCCTTATTGACCTTGTTTACAAACTTATTATAAATAGACACCAGTAAAATTTTTTAGATGACTTAAGTGCTAGTTTCACCATTAACCTTCCAGTACTGTTATTAAATAAACGGGACTAATTGCTCGATCGATTATGTTTTTCATTGATGTATCGATCGTTTAATGAGATCAATCCTGCCAAACTTATCCGTTGCCGCAGAGGTCATGTTGCTTAGTTCTCCGAATATGCGGGTTCTTTTTATATCTCGGCTAAAGTTCATTCAGCATCCGTCAATCATAGATTAATCAATATAGAGATTACATATTTAAATAAAAAGACGTATAATCTAGAAATTCGAACCTAATTTTAAAAAAACCTCATCTGACAAGTACGAATCTTTCCTCTCTCTTGGCCAAACAAGGGAGTCGCTTCTATGTCCACCAAAGTTCATTTAGTGACCGTCAATTTTTTAAATAGTTGATAAGTAGTGACTACATAACTATATAAGTATTTGGAAACGTTCTCTAGCTAATTTTTCATCTTATTTAAAGTAAAAACTCATTTGATAAGTAAGAGCTGTTCGTTTCTCTGCTCGTAAATTCATTTTGAGAAAAACTGTTTCCATCATCGCCAAATTCCAGTACCACGCCTTCTGCAAAGTCATCCGGGCATTGTAGCCCCTCGTTTCTCTGTCCAGCAGAATCTTGATGTCGTCCATGCGCCATTTTTGGGTACTCAGGACCTTCGTCTTTGGTAATATTTCTCTTGAGCTCTTGGTCCTTTGAGATTTGTGGTAACGACAAGGTGCGCGAACGTGTGCCTAAGGATATCATGAAAAAATGTTCATTTGTCAACTCGCTGTGATCAAATAAAGAGAAAGAAAGAAGAACAATTTTCTTCGTCCTAATCCTATAATCCTATGTTCAGTGTCATACGACGAAAAGTTGAGAAAAAGCTATAAAACGCTCATCTGACACGAGAGACAGGTTTTCAGGCTACTACAAAGAAGGACGAACACTGTTCCCGGCGAGGAAGGATTAGAAATAATAACATATCGTTCAAACGGTCAAAAATTCTATAGAGACCCAAAGATGATTTGTCTTAAATAAATCCCGCAAATTTACTTACTTTTTCTTGAGCATGATATGCTCCAGGATCTTGATCTCTGCCTACAAGTCTCACAAAGAAAAAGAGATGCAAACACTCGCCGATAAGCCCATCTGTACCGTGAACTCATTTTTCCGTAAATGATGGGGTTTGCCATAGCGTATATCAGAGAGACCATCCCCGTCAGGAGAACAACAGCTTTACTTGATTGGTGGCCTGTAATCAGGGTAACAATGTTGCTGATCTGAAAACAATGTGAAAACAATGATGTTTTCTTCTCGACAGCATCATGATCTTCAGCTCTAATTCTGACTTATGTGGACCATCAAGAGCAACACTAGGCCAGTATTGACTGAATAGTCTGAATGAAATCGGGAATTTCATATGTCAACTAATGTATAAACTGAAGTCTGATGAATTGCAAAAGATACCCATCAGCTGAAATTGTTTTGTTTTACAGACTAACAGCTAAATTTAAGATAGAAGGTGTCTGAGAAAGTTGAACCCTATGAGGTCCTCACCGCACAAGAGTTCAAGAGAGAGATTATTGCAGTTATTGGTACTGCCTTTCTTTTTGGCTTTTGGCAGACGCACCGCAAATGAAAGAAACAAATAACTCAGTTAGGAAGCTGCTATTGCAGTATATCAGTGGTTTTTATTTCTCCATTGTACGATGACTGGATTGTTTGATTCACGATTGAAGTTTCATGAAGTATGTCTGGTCAATTGCATACTTTGTTAACGGAAATAATTTGTTTTCTCTTTGGCAAAAAAAAAAACAAAAAAAAAACGAAACAGAATCACGAATTTTTACCAGGCATTGCATCGTTTACAATGTGATTTCTAAGCTGAAATGCTTTGGAAACCGTATAGTAAAGACTATGACTTAATCTCGATAGCCGACTTCGCTGGGTAGAATTTGCATTTCCAAGTTCAACATTTTAATACTCCAGAACGAAATACTCACCAAAATTGGTAGCCAGCTAATGTAGTAAAGAAAAACAACTAGGGCCATCATAAGTGACAGTCTCTGAATCTCCCTCACTCCATGCGTGCTACTCTTTCGTCTTCTTTTCACTCCCTCGCACCCAGGATCCTCGGAAACTGACCCGCGAGACAAATTCGTCCCGGCAGTTTTGTTTTTTGTGTCCATTACTGTTTGTCGCTTAATAAACTGCGTACTCGATGTTTTGATCGCAAAATAACATGCTAACACTAGTGCCAACAATATGAAGGATGCAGATACGATAAGAATAGCATAGGCTTTTCCCAAATGCGTTAAATGATAAAAACATTTACCATCTTCATAACCCGATTTTCCAACTCCTAGGAATGGCAAAGAGGCGAATAACACTGCATTCAACCAAGTGAACATGACAAGTTTTTTCACACGCGAAGTTGTAATTGTCGTGTGATATTTGAATGGAGACAAAATCATAAAAGCTCGTTCGACAGCTATCAGCGTGACCGTCCCAGCGGAGGCAAAGCGAAGTGCATTTACCACCACTATATAGAAGCCGCAGAGAAGGGGAGTCCACCTCCTCTGGACAAAATAGTTCACGAAAATCAGAATTTGAAGAGGGACAGCTCCGCCAATGAAATCTGCCGTTGAAAGGGACAGAAGGAGAATATCTGTAATGACCCATTGTTTTTGAAATTTTATCGACATCAGCACCAAAAGATTTCCAAGAGCAACTGCCAAAATACCTGCTTCGAGGAATAAGCCAAGTGCTAATGGACTCAGAGAAGTTACTTCATCATCTCCTTCTTCTTTCACCGTAAAAGCTGATGTCGTTATGTTTGTTGTATCGGCATTGGTAACCACAGATGTGGAGGCCATTTGTATTCTAACGAACGCACAGTTTTTGAACTTTAAATCAGTTCGAGGCTCTTCGAACTTCTCATAGCCTTGGCACGCGTCTGTTGGTCAATTAGAGACAGAAGACAGCAATGAATGGTGAGGTTTAACCGCAGGTTGTTAAATATCTTTATGAGAGTCCTTGACAGCTTTAATTGAGTGTAACTTGGAAGTGCCCTAATCTCTTAATCGCAGAAACCAATTTACACGCAGACTGAAAGGTACTCCAACGAAAATAATTTGTTCATCGACGAGCTCTGTCTGGAATCCACACCTTTCGACATCAAAAGGGATCTAAAGTGTTGAATTGCACTTCACTATCTAATTAGTACAGAGCTCCGAAAGAGAAAATTTTACATATTTGTATTGAGATATGACAAATGCTTTCTTTGTTTTACCCAGCTGAGCGAGGTTCTTTGGGCATTACATAAAGGCAAAACAATATATAATGACGCTTTTAACACTCCGTGAAATTGAACTTTGTAGCTATCCTGTGTTTTCTCCAAAAAAGGTAGCATATGTTATTCTTTGCTTAGATGTAATTGCAATAGCGCGTGCAGATAAAAGTTGTTTTGAAAGCTACTTTGTGTTTGGATCAGCGTGATCTATCTTCCATTGTCGATGAAAATTCCGGAAATAACAGTATTATGAAATTCGCTTTTTCTTTCTTCTACTATCTTCAAAATACAATCAAGTGAATCCACTGCCCACTGTGAATGGAAACAAATTTTAACGAGATGCAAATAATCACCTGCCGGGTGTGAGACCACAAAAGGGATCAGTTACCATGACACCAAAATAGGTGATTTAACATTTGTTTCATTCATACAAAAGGACTCTCATTGTCGATGAGTACTTCTGAGCGAAGTTTTATTTTGGGAGCCTTAATCAGGGATGGAGACCAAAAGTCCTACCATATTACAAGATTAATTCAGACACATTTTAAGTATCTAGTATGTGCCATTTTTAGAGGCACGCGAACACGGCGTTGCGTGTTCTGCGCGTAGAAAAAAGGGTGCGCCTGGAAACCTTTTACTTTATGAGACCTTAACTTTCTCAGATTTTCTCCGCATGCAAATTCAAGAGGAGAAAATTACATTTCGCGCAGAAATCACCATTACTATGAAAATGCAAGAATATTTATTGCGGCAAAGAGTGCTGTCATTTTGCGAACAAGGAAATATCTGTGCTAGAATTTTTGCCGACAAACAAAGCCATGAAACTTCCCGGGAAAAACAGTTTTAGTTTTATTTTGCAGTGATTTTAGAATCTACCGATCCTTGCTTTGTTTTCGGATAACAATAGCGTTTAAGTACACACGCTTTGATGGTGTTTGGTTAGCGAAGAATCGAATGTGATTCCAAAAGCAAGAGCTAGACTTAAACTTATTAAATCCATAATTTTCTCGTTTTCTGGTGAAAACGAGAAAATTCTTATATGAAAGACTCCGGAACAGACCGGAAAAAACACTTAACTGCTAATCACTCTTAAATGTATCCATTATAGATGGTTACTCATCGATCATGCACTTTACTCTTAAGTCAATCGCTATTCCTGCCAGCGAAAGACCAGTTAATCCACTCCAGCTAAATCGTTTAGTGCTCCAGATGTTCTAAAAATAGAAAAAGTACTACGAGACGCTAACGACACGTGTAGGAGTTAGGGCCTTACATAACCAAGAGATATCCACTGAAAAAAAAAATGTCCAAATTGTGATACCTACTAAACATCTGGCTCAGTGGGGGAGGAGTGGGGGGAAATGTGGTTGATATTCGAAATGGCCACATTTAATAGTAAGATATAAAACTGCTTCGAAATATGAAAGAAATTATCATTTCATTGCAAGACTGATTTCCCATGTTTTAAACGTTGACATTGCGTAAATATGTGTTATGTTGAGGTTTATTGACTCATTTTTCCTTACTTCTTTTTCAGTAGAACTCCGAGTATTTTTGTGAAACGAGACTTAAACCCGATCCCCCTTGCTGTCTCGTCCACTCATCGTGGGTTTAAAGCAGCAAGAACTTCAAAACCTTGAACTGCGACAAGTTTGGCAAACAAGTCACAGGATCCAAATAGCAATGAAAGGGCATGAAAATAAATACATTCAATGTGAACAGTGTCGTTCAGTGCAAAAAATTTAAAACGGAGACTCATGGTTATTCTAACCACGTTTCCGTGCTGGTGAGAACGAAAAGATACCAAGAAGCCGAAAAGAATGGAAATTTGTGATCAAAAACACTTTCGTTTCTTTCCAAGTTGAAACTGGGTTAACGGTTTCTGTAGGAATCTAATCTAGGAACAACAGATCTTTTACCAAGCTGATTAAATCCTGAGGCACGCTTCCGAGTAGCTTAACACTGGGTTAACAGCCTCTTCAAAGGTTCCATGTATTGTTGTATTGTCCTCATATTTGAGAAAATGTCAATCATCACCCCGATCTAAAAAAGTCGCAAACTGTCTGCCTTTGGGCGTGGTTATGGCGAACCTCATGGACGGTTTTCATAAAAAAGGCTTATAGTGGCTACGACATACTCAACTTTCAATTTTTTTAAAGCTACCGCTCTATTTTACCATGCCTCTCTGTCCTGATACAAATACCAGAAGTTCTAAAAACTAGCAATTATTATATTATCGTGTTGAAAATCGTGTTACCCAAAATTTAAAACTGTTTCGACATACTGAAACCCTTCACACTTGTGCGAGAGAATTTTTTAGTTTCGTACAACTTTCACCTTGATATTATTACTGTACAAGGCACCTTTATATTCCTGGGTCGGTCATGGATGCAGATTGTGTTGGTGCTTGCAATCTCAGCTGCCATTCAAGTCTTTAAAACAAGGGTCTTAAATTACGATCCGCTATCAGCTGTAAGGTTCAAAGTTGCTTCAACTGGTTTTCATCCAAGTTAATGATTTAGGTAAGCATAAGATTGTGACCTCTGGGAATAATTCCAAAATGAAACACGCAATAAGTGTTTGTAGTTTTCCTTTTCTGTGTCTTTAGTTTAAACTACTGATAGAATCCAAAGAAAAAGCACGAACATTAACTGTTGGTGTCCCTCCAGTAATCGCCAATGATTTGATGTCGTGCATGTGCCTAAAAAAAGGCGTGTCACCCATCATAAGTTTACGAGGGTTACATGTCATAAATAAAAACGCTGAGTTTTTGTCACTCCAATCTGGCTTTCTGAAGCGATTATAGAGAAGCCCTTTGAAAAAGAAATGTTACGCGGGAGACCTTGAACTGATTTTCCGGGCGCTGAAGTGGTCTCAGTTAAACTCAACCTCCGATTTAATCTTGGCCCCTGGGCGCCTTAACTACCACGACTAAAAATTTTACACCGAATTAAAAAGGTGTCTTACCAGAAGGCTAAATATCCTCACAGAGACACAAGACTTAAACAATACTTGGCGCTTACTCAAGCTAAGAAACAGCCAGTGGCTTAGAGGTACAAGGTGCAGGCTATAGTTATTGAAGAACCAAATCCAAAGTCCTTCTTTACCCTTCATTTATCAGAGCAAAGAGGGAATTGAGCACTATTACGATAAACATTTTAGCTGTATACCTGACGAAAGAGTTTTCCATGCAGAGGTTCGGTAAAATTTCCTGAAGTGCATTGGCTTTCGGAAATTCAACATTGCTTGCTTCTTTGAAATTTCACTCTTGCTCCGTGTTATTTTCATTGTTGCGATCAGAGTGATTGAAGTCGGAGATTTCTTTCTTAACAAAATAGATAACTTGTTTTATTCCTGTAATAACCACAATATATTAAATGACTTAGTTATCAATTGAACAATATTCGATGGTAATTTCAGACTCCAATACCGAGCAAATATGTTATATTAAAAAACATTCACAAAAGTAAAGATATTACTGATACCAAAACACTTTACACAAACGGGACAACGACTTGCTCTGTGCATAAAAGACAGCACCATCCTAACCAGCACTTTTAATCTCAATCATTTTTTTTTTTTTTCACCTAGCTCATTATGTACATAGCTGAGTATTATTTGCTCGTTCACCAAAAATTAATAAGATTCCTCCACCCATTGTAATAGCATTAAGATGTAGAAGTGTTCTGTGCATTTTTCAAAAACTTGAAGTATGCTCTCCACCCTTCATAAATATGGTTCGGGAGTAAAATTGTGAGACAATTGAAGTGACATCCTGAACGGATTTCGTAACCGCATTTGTGCATAAGAATCTCCGTGTCGTTCATCCGCATATCGAAATGGTAAAACCAGTTTATTAGTGAAATAGTGCAAAATTTTTGTTGTCGAAGATAACCCATCTCTCCCTGAGGTTTCAAGAAGATTGATATTTGTATATCTCAGCCCAGCATAATCAAAACAAAATAAGTCAGTCTTACCGAGAGCCAGGACATTCTAAGAGAAAATTCCTATAAGTTTAAAATTGTGAATTTGAGGGGCTTTATAAAGTGCCTGCGAAAGTTGGAAAGTGATGAAGAACATTACAAACAAATACCAGGTCTTCGTAAACCGATCCTTCACCTCATCCAAGTTCGGGTCAAATGGCTAAACATACTCACTGAAAAATACCTCTGAACACGCATGGGGATGTTAATCAAATCCCAGAGAAGAAATGAACATTTTTGGAAGCTGCAAAAGTTTCGAGTTTTTTACATGTTTTTACAACTTTTATCTTTTCGCTACTTTTTAACGTTTTACTTTGTAACACGAGATATAATTTTCATCTTTCGAGAGACTACTTTTATAACTACTAAACGAAAAGAGGGCGTGGAAAAAAGCCATAAAAAAAGCGCACGGAGGAGGTCAGTTAAACAAGAACTCCGACACAGAGCATCGCGATAAAACGAAGTGGAAGTCATAACCCAGGTTAGAGAAGACTGCAGGGGGAATGTGTCACAGGGATACACCATATGTGGTCCCCTCACCCCAACATCTATCAGTATGATTATCGTAGCCAAGTAAACGAACTTAAATCAATCCAATTGG